AGTTTGATCGGTCCTTAGGAATTTGCTGAACATTCACGATACACGTGCGCTGTCCCCACATATACGAAGTGCATGCGTTGTTCCGGTTGCTACCTTCCCGTTTCATTGGTCAATAGAGATTATAATGAATATTCACGATCTATTTCCTGGCGGTCGAGTCCTGCATTGGTTTATCCATGCATTTTCGTGCAAGCCCGTGACCCTTGGTTGGCATAAATGGTGAATGTCCATGTCCATTCTAAGTGCCTGCGCTGCATGCAAACGATCTCCCGTTATCACTTCGCTGAGAGCTTGCCACTGCCAGTCCCGTCGTCTAAAAATCATTGTCACTGCAGACCTGGAGGAGAAACTCTCCGGGTCTATGCTGTCACAGTGTCTGCGTACACGTGGCGCTTTGCCTTTACGAGAAGATATTGACATACACGACAATTCCAAACATGCACATTCATTTTAACCCTGATTTTTTTCGAAGAGGTTATGTTCATTGTCTAAACATCAATGTCACCATAGACCTGGATGAAAAACCCCAATACAAGCATCGACCAAGCCACAATTTACTTGCACTCCAAATAAGAAAATAGGAGTAATGAATATTATTACACCCAGGCGACGAACGCCAAGTTGGGCATTCATTATAAACTATATATTTATTTAATACAGGTAACAATACACGGTCACTGTTTGAAAAGAGTATCAAACGTAGGGCCTCCAATTAGGGCCGGGATATTCAGATTAAGGCCTGAGTAACCAATATCAATCCCAAATGCAAGTCATGATGGGCACTGCCATCATGGTTACCCCATGAAAATAAGACTAATGAATTTTACTACACCCCAGACGCCAAGTTGAGCATTCATTTTAAATTATGTAATACAGGTAAAAATACACAATCACTTATCAACGATTGATAAGGAACATAATGAAAGCTCGCTGTCGGAAACCGTTTCTTAAGTTCGTTGCCTACCTCTGCTAAAATCCTGAAGTTGTGCGTTAATGATGTGCGTTTCTAAACAGGGCTTAATTTCTTGGGTATTTATCTAATAATTTCTCGCGTTGGGTAAACCTGGTTTTGATTAATGTATTCAACCCCATTTAAGTACTGTTATTAGAAATGATGAGATTGGAAAGCAATCAGAATGTTATTCCCTGGCAATGCATGGGATTAAAAAAGAAACACCCTTACAATACATTCCTTGATTGGAGACACATTTGCACTCAACCTCCGTGGTTTCACTTACGCCATTACATCAAGCCATTTAGGGGACCGGGAGAGTGGCTTAGCATTTGAACTTGACTTGCTCTTCAATGAAGTACTTCTTTTGGTGTCGGTCATGGTAAATAGTTTCTGATCGGTTACAGCATCTCCCTTTTCAATATGCATGTCTTTATAAACTCACAAATCTTCCAGACAAAAACATCATAACTTGATTTGTTGTCCCAGATTTATATGAGAATCTGTTTTCAAGTGCCTGGTTCCTTTGAGTTTGAAGTTCACATCACACCCCTGCCCAGATATCAGACACGGTTGTTCACTCTCACGGTTTCACTACCAAAACACTACTTACAGTAAATTTCCTTAATCATAGATAAACCCTCCATTATTTGCTTAACAAAGCCACAATACTCACATCGGTACGTGTGCAGATCTTCGTAACAAGTCATTTCATACTAAAAGTGTCTCAAAAATCAATAACAATTGAAAAACTCAAATGTCCACAGCAGTGACAAGTACAATTAAAAACTTCAACGGTTGCTTCCGACAGAATTAAGGTTGAGATTTGTAGACATCATTAGGCTGTCATCTACAAAGTGTGTTCCCCCCCGCATACTATTCCACAAATTCCTCATTTAAACACGGGCCGGGCTAGACGTCCTCCTGAACACCGTCGATTTTTACACCTTCTTAATACCACCATGATACCACACATCGCTAATGTTGATAAATGTTAGAAGTATTCAGAGATGCGCCAGCTGCAGTTTAAAAATGTTGTTAAACACTTAAGCCCGCTGTAAGATCGGTTTTATCTGTCTTGGAGCCTTTGAGAAATTTGAAGCAGAAATAAACTCACGCGTTATTTTGAGAATATTTCAGTTATTCCATCAAAGATGTACATGATATATTGTGGCTAATGTTAATGGAACGCTCCGTTTCAACATAACAGCGCAACATAAGCGTATTTTCTTCTTTTTGATTTGTGTACGTTTCTGGTGGATAATCTTTTGTTTTGTCTATATGTATTTTTTCCATTCCTAATTATGCCAATAGAATAATTTCGGCGTTTTTATGATGCCGACAATAAATGTGTAATCTAATCTAATTATATCAGTAAAATTACACTGGTGTGGACTTTTGTACCAATGTCCCTGTTTCACCGTTGAAAAGGGGAACAAAAATGTGTTATGTTGAAACGGAGCGTTTCATTAACATTAGCCACAATATATCATGTACATCTTTGATGGAATAACTGAAATATTCTCAAAATAACGCGTGAGTTTATGTCTGCTTCAAATTTCTCAAAGGCTCTTTTTTACACTACACTGGGCCTCTCGCCGCATAAAGTTGGTCTCTTTGTTTGAGTATATCATCAGTCTGAAAAATTTCCATATCCAGAGACTGTGGTGTAATCGGAACAAATATTACTTCTTACATGTACTTCCATTTACTTTGTTGCCACAGGACATAAACGTCTCAGCTCAACCATGCCTCAATTGATCTAGCGGGTGCCGCGCGAAGCTAGTCACAAAATGCAGATGGCCTTCCCATCTAGCACCCTTTGTGGGCGCAGGGCCATGAAAGAACCGTTCTTGGATAGAGCGCCATGAGAGGGCGCCATTTTGTAGGAACAGGTTATCATCGGTAGATACCACAGAAAACAAATGTAAACACATAAACCAGGTCCTTTCCAGAACTACAGGGTTTTTGTGATGTGAGCAGCGCCCGACTAAAATCAAAACTATGGACAAGTTCACCCCCGGAATAGGGAATTTACGCATTATTGAAGAATTACAGGCATATCAATCTATGAAGCCAGATTTTGATTGTAAAAAAATCTCTTTTTACTTAATCTGGCCTCTAGGGTTTTAAAACAATGCAGTTGCAACATCTGAAAAGAAGAGTTAGCAGTACAGAAGCGTAAAATAGGTGAACGTATTTTGGGAGCACTTGTAAACAAATACAGGCAATGTAAATGCGTTGCGCGTAATGCGCACTGGACGCGCTACCACCTGTCGCTTCTCTTGCAAAATCACGGTTTTACGCGCAAGACTGGCGGTCTATGCGTTTAACATGTCTGTGTCTATATGTCTTGGCCTATCGTGGTAGCTATAATATGATATAAAAAATAAATATGATGACTTTAAAATGAAAGCGTACAAATCTAGGACGTTTTCCCTTCTCCTTGGCAAAACATGATTAAATAAAACAAATAAGATTTTGCCAAAAAATCACAGCTGAACCTAAGTCTGTGTTTGCAGAAATGCAAAATTTCAAACAAAGTTACCTAGGGAAATGAAAAAAATCGATGGGCCTTAAAGAGTAAGGCTCTGACATTGCAAGGTCAATACCTTTGCCTTAAATGCTTAATGCCAAGGCTCTAATGTCAAGCGTTGAGGCAACCAGAAGGCCAATTAAGACTCAACATCGAGGCACTTCATTACTGCGTGAAGGCCAGTACACGTTCATTCAATAACAATCAACAGTACATGTATTCCCCCAACCTGTCTTCTGATCTCTCTGTTCTAGTTGACCAGTCCCGATAACGTTTTCACGATGTTAGACCACGAACTACAGTTGTATTCCATTGTGTTAGTTTGTTACTTATTTTTTGTTAGGAAATCACGTGCTACATCGTTCACAAAACGAAGTTGCCAGATTTCTAAGTCAATTCCTTCTCAAGCCTTACTGTATATTATCTCAATTCATGGTGTCAAAATTGAATACGGAAGTTGTTTTCTAGTCAAGAAAAAAAGTATTTAACAATACGCGAGTACGTCAAAGCAGCAGGTCTATTAATACATTTTCACTAATGTGAAATAAAGAACGTTTGTTTTATAGGCCATTATTTCAGATTAGCTTTGTAATGTTGCTTTTAATTGGGACTCAATGAAGTCCTAATAAAAAGTGACACTAAACACCAAAAGTCTCGTTAACAAGTGCTCCGGAATAGTACACCTCTCCAGATGCATTTTGTGTCTCTTGGGTAGTCGATTGAAACAAGGAATCAAAAAACGCACTGTGTGAAAGAGTGACAAATTGAAGTCAACGTAAGTCCCTTAATCACCGCTAGAAACTATCTTCAGGAGAATGTCTATATCCAAAATCAACTGGAACCCACTTCGTGCATTTCCAAACTAACATCTGAAAATCCGTGCATGAATATTTATGTGCGAACTTTCGCAGTCTTTTTTACCTCGCGAGAGACAAAATAGACTGTTGGTTCATACCTGTCACCAACTCAGTTACATTGGACGGAGAAGTTATGATAATCCAGACGTCATTGTATAGAAGTCTTGCATGGGTACTATCACCATGTTACAATAGCACATGTTGTATTGCTACCTAAGTTCAATGCACGGATTGACCTTCAACAGTAGAACCGCTTTCCAAGTAATGAACCTCACTTAAGGAATGACTAGTTGAACCACAAGGCCCTTGGGGAGGAAAGCAGGGCTGGACCGGATGGGTCATGAGGCAGCCAAAGTCAGTGTTCATTAA